ATTTGGCGCAATATCTGGGTATACCCCTAATATGTTCAATATTGTACTTATTCCACCATTCGAGATGTACTCATGATATGCGAGGAATATAGCAATATGTTGCGTGGAGAATACAATATGTGATTTCTCACGTATTTGTTGGGATCCCGGCCAATCATTTTAGCACGTGGTCAATGGGATATGCTAGCGTAGGAGTGATATCAGTTCGGAGGATATCCTGCGGTTTGGATAGGTAAGATGTTAGTTGGGCTATTAAATTGCTTGTTTAGTAGATAGACCTAAACTCTTTTTCTTTTGATCACGGCAGCGCTCTTCCTCTCCATGATAATATCATTCAGCATCCCGACGACTAAAATCACTCGTGTTTCAGAAGCATAAGTTCGATCTTGGGTCGTTAGGCCAAGATGGAGAAAACCGATCCCGAAAGTTTGGACCCGGCTCGCGCAAAATGCTGTAAAGACCCAACCGCGGTTGAACGAAGCAAACAAGGGTAAGACCTGTCGAGCAAGGTCGCAAGACGGCTCAAGTGCTTCGATGATTGAAGCAAGAGGTTGAAGGACTGTACCGCGCGAGGTGACCACAACGCAAGAATACTTGAACTCTGTGTGAAGGGATCCCCGCATAGAAATCAACCGTTGATTTTAAGCACAAGAGCAACATTGTCATCTTCCGAGGCCATTACGAAGAGCTACAGACAGATCAAGCGACAATCAAACAAGTCGAGCCCAGGAATACACATCTAGGAACGGATCGGAGCACCCCCTACGTGATTAAGCAAGTATGAGCAAGTGGAAGATCGCGCCTCACATCAGCAATTTTATGAGATCGACTTCATTACAGTTTCTAGCACTACTTCCTTGAAATATTGCTACTTCAAACAAGAATAAAACGTTAATCAAGAAGTCACGGTGTGATGCTACGATGTAGTGGAAAAAGCAAAACAGATAGATTGCAGCGCACACGTAGTATTTTACATGTGTGATTCTTTTTAGCTATGCGAAGTAATGAACGTCACTGAAACGGGGCACGCACTTACCAATTACTGGTAACTCTTGCATATCTCGCAACACAAGAGTGAGTGCTTCCGTACTTCACGTACACGTTAGCGTTAAGGAAGCGCGAGACAGAGAGAGCTGAGCTAAAGAAGCCCAGTGTAGGGAAAATAGAACGGTATACAGTATAGCTATTGATCTATTAATAAACTTTCTTTGTCTTACTTTAGCTAAAATAAACTACAGTCTTCTATGTGGGTTTCCGCGCACCACCTATTGCTCGCGTTCAGCTGCGATTGGTGGCTCTACTAGTTTGATATCATGGTTTATATCAGCAAATGAGTGGGGCGGCCTTAATATAACCATGGTAATGTTCCGTCATAATTAATTCCTTAACTAGGTAATATTGATGAACATTATTAACTGAGACAATATTCACATCAACATATGTAAACATCAATAACATGTAACGGGCTCACCCCATTTCAGTCACATTACGCGACAATGTCTGTAACGGGGCACCGATCGCTACGTACTGGACTACCAGTACGAAGCCAATTATCACTGGCGAAAGTGAAGGTCAGTGCCCTGCTACCTCTATACACTATACAAAGGAAGAAGAACGACCAAGGCAAAGACTTTGGTCGTAGTAAAATTGTTATTGAATATGATTAATCCTACTATCGTTTGTGTCTGATTTGTCCCAACTCGGATATATTAACAGAACTAAACGTGTGACCACGTCTACCCGCCACCCATTGCGCGCGTCTAGCAGCGATTAATCGGTTGATTTATGGAGAATGTCTCCCTAATGAGTAGATCCTCGGGGCTCTACCGAGGTGCCCTCGATAAGCACCGCTCGTGACAAGTAAGTGGCGCGGGTTCGATTCCCCGTCAGACCAGCCAGAGGTTTTTAAAATGTGCGTGACACACTGTAGCACTGGTAACACCCCGGGACCCGATACCAGCTAGTAAGACATCTCGAAGAAGCATAAACCCCATCAACCTATAGTAGGCACCCAGAGCAGCAAGTAAGCAGTGCTCGGAACGTGGGACGCAACCACGACCGGGTGGGAATGTGAAGACCCTCCCGAAGAGGGCAGTTGCATGCCGTTAGGAGAATTAAATGTACAGTATGTACCTACAGAGCAAAAAAATGAGTAGACCCTTGGGTTATCTCAACAATACCACTGTATTTTGTGATAATATTACCAACAATATTCAACACATTGTTCTTTGTTACCATTTCTCATTATGGTATTTTTATGTAACGGGCTACCCCGTTACATTGTCGATATCAGATCCGCGCTTTTTGCTTTCTCACGACGTCTACGCTGATGCAACATGGTTAATAGCTCGTATCTAATGAACTATCACGATGAATGGTTGCTGGACTGTAACTAGATATGACGCTGTTTCACAATTATTCGCCAATGTACCATGCAGCGGCTTCTTTACTTTCTTATTCGCATCGTCTGTAAACTTGCTACTTTTAGTGTAGCAAGCGTTGGTGCAGAACTTCAATATCACCTCTATTGCGGCTTATCTACCGCTTTCATCTGTCACTTACATTGCCATAAGGCTACACATTGGCCTTCGGCCATGACATCTCAGCAATTATGATTCTTCGGACCACAACTGCCGAGGCATAGTGGCGCTGCGCAGGTGCGTGAACATCTTTCGTTTCCGACTCACTCGATTTGACGCGTTTGGTGTGCTGTTGCACTGTGGTATTCCGGATACCAGTGTGTGATGCGTCGGCGGTCAGGCTTGAAAAGCAATGGAAGCATAAGGAGTGTCAGCTTTTGTTAGACACTTGCAGCAGACGGCCAACTCACAAGCTCTCACGTCGTGGGCTGTAATATTTGCACGAAAGGCATTTGGGCAGCGCGATCAGCCAAGACCATGCGACACCATCGCGATGTGAACGCCTCATGGAAGCAATATCAATGTCTGCTACTAAGTATCGGGTTCGTACGTGCGCGTCTTGAATCGTCGGCTACGACCAACGCGAATAAGTTTTTGCGAAACTTACATGAGCTTAGTGTTTGTATTGCAATTCTACCTTCCGGCGGACTCGTGATTAGTTGGTATTGACTCGATGATGTTCTTCATGCGCAGCCTCACCACACTTGGAGCGTCCGTTTGAGGAATGTGGAGTCTGTACGTATCGATGTCGGCCATTCAGGTAGCAGTTACTAACTGCAATCGCGTTCCACCACGTTCTCGTTGGGTCAAATCTTGCGACATCATTCGGTTCGTCTATCCAGTTACTGCCGACTCAGTCGTACATTGACGTCGCCATGTCGAGGAGCAGTACAAAGAACCATCGTGGGCTGGACTGCCCTACATTCACTATCGCATCTGATTGTGTAGTCATCCCCATTGCCGTAGGGTCGGTAATGCACAGATGTGACACCTCGATTGACGATAACTGCTTGTGCACGTCACTTTGATCGTCGACATCACTGTTGTCGTCCGTTTCGCCCACTCCTTTGTTTCCGTCATCGCACGCAGCTCAAACGAAATAGTAGAACATGTGTGGCACACGATTGAGCCGCCTCCTTCTTTTCTCAAATTGCAACGCATACTTCTCCTCACAGACGTGATGGATAGAGCGTCTATCTATCCGCAAGAAGTAGCTGCTGCGTGTCCCCATCCTATATCTGCTTACTGCATCTTTTTGCGATGGTACAAAAGTGAGTGTCGTCTTGCCGGTCGTTTCTAAATCCGATTCGGGACTGGGAGATGATCGACATGTCGTTGTAATGCGTGTGGGATAGGCCACTATTGACGTCGATATCGTGCTTACTCGAATGGGCAACTGTTTCCTGCTTGTCCAGGCTTTCCGGACGATCGAACGCTCACGCTCCTTTTTTAGGCACCTCAATGGAGCATTGACAGGGCTTTATGCTGCCAACGAGATTAGCTCCCACCAAAATCGGTTTCACGCTTACGCAAAAGCGAACATACCTTTCATGCTCGCCCTGATATCCTGTGCGTACTCTTCGCATAAACAAACGTCACGCTCGCCCTGATATCCTGTGCGTACTCTTCGCATAAACAAACGTCACGCTCTGATCGTTTGACGCCTGTTCAAGCACTAAAGTGCCCGACTACAGGATCAATCATTTCTGTGATCGCAGTTTCGACTAAGGCGCGCAGTAGAAGGAGCATATACTACTTTGTGCGGTCAACTGCTCGTACTGCTGGCTTGCGTGTCGTTTGAAGTGAGCGATTCGTGAGCGACGCCTTGGTCTAGGTTATCCATCATTCAGTTGGACCAAGCCAGCTGCTCTCGTCGATCGTACCGGTAGTCGAACCGGTACATTGTGGTTCGTCGGTCAAAGCCTCTTCTCGCTTCGAGTCGGAGCTTTTGGCAACAAAGTGCCGACTGTGATGAATACACAGAGAGCATTGCTGTTTTCTATGGAGCCTTCTTCCGTGAATCGCAATCGATCGGCTCTGTACAGGCTCGAATGAAGCCGGGACTGTCGAACTATCGCCAGTCTCGGCGTTGTTGTGGCTACTACTGTCGTTGCGGTAGCGATGTGGCACTACGCGGCAGCACACAGCCTTCTAGCCAAACATTCAAGAGACCGCTCTACGATGGGAAGTAGAAGCGGTAGTGCAAGCGGAGATTAAACGCCAAGAGACGTCGTCTACTGGTGATTACGACGTCTCAAGCGAATCTCTCGCTTCCCGCCATCTTCTCGTAGGAGACAAACAAGCCACTCACGATCCTGAACGCTTCCGTTGTAGCGCTCGCTGGTCGTTCGATCTGACCGTCGACATTGCCGCAAGTGCACGACGTTCGCCACACGCGGTGTCCCATGTACTAATGCTATAAAGAGCTGGATGACACGGCCGAACGCTTCTGCGTGAAAGAGTCGAAAGACAACAGCCCAGTCACGACAGCGTCTTGTCTGGAGCAGTGTTCATTTCCCAATTTGCCCTCAGGCACTCAAGCGTCCAACCAGCTCGAGTACACAGCAAACAAAGCTGCCCATGGTCGCTACGGTCTTGGACGCCGGTCGCCTGACCTTTGCTCTCTGCTCCTTCATTGTTGCCCAGGGTGGCATGGTTGCTGCTCAAAGTGCCAAGAGTAGCCTCGCAACTTCTGGACCATCCCTAGCTGACGTCAGCGCTTGCCTGAACAAAGCGGGCATTGAATACTCGACGCCCACCACTTCAACGTGGACGGTGGACACGGAGGCGTGGAACTCACGGGTGAGCCCTGTACCTTCAGCCGTCGCTTTTCCGAAGACGGAGGAGGAGGTGTCGGCTGCCCTGAAGTGTGCTGCTTCCTGCGGCGTCAAGGTGACTACGCTTGGCGGCAACCGGTCGTTCTCGAGCATGGGCTTTGGTCGCAATGACGGTGCTCTGATCATGAATCTGAAGCACTTGAGGCACACGAAATACGATGCGTCGACCCAGCTGCTATCGTACGGTGGCCCCGTCACGATCTCGGACGCTGTCAACTTCTTGTGGAACAAGCATAAGCGCAGCATTGTCCATGGTCGTTGCCCGGAAGTCGGCATGACCGGTGTCGCTGCATCGGGTTTTGGAGCCAAGTCGCGTGTCGAAGGCACGGTACTGGACAACCTCGTGTCCGTGCGAGTGGCTCTCGCGAACAGCTCCATCGTCGACGCTGACGCCAAGCAGAACTCGCAGCTGTTTTGGGGCATCCGTGGTGCTGCCAGCTCGTTGGGTGTGGTTCTCGATTTTAAGGTCAAGACCATTGCGCCTCCCTCGAAGAGCGCGACGAACTACACGATCGTTTTTGACAAAGAATACAAGCCTACGCAGCAAGATTCCGTGGATGCCTTGATTGGCACGCAAACGTGGGCCTTGAGCAAAGAAAATGACGACCGGTTGTCCATCCGATTTGGACTCATGAAGAATATCGAGTTGAAAGGCTTCTTCTACGGCACTAGTGAGGAGGCGAAGAAAGTCTTCGCGTCGCTCATGAAGAATCTGCCAAGTGCAATGAAGCTGACCACGACCGAAAGTGACTTCTGGACGTCGGAGGATTGGTCGACTCCTGGTCTCGTGAAGCAGACGGAATCGTCTCGCCGTTTCTTCTACGTCACATCGGTGACGATTCCAGGCAAGGCCCCTCTCACTAACTCCACCGCGTGGGACCTGTTTACGAACACCGTCTTTACTCCCAAGATACCTGATGCTGCTCTCGGGGGCTATGTGGACGTTTGGGGTGGCAAGTTCACCAAGACCGTTCGTCCAGACGACTCTGCCTGGAAACACGACGACATTCTTCTCTTGATTCGTTGGGACATGCGCACCCCCGACTACAAAGTGTCATTTGCAGAAAGCTCCTTGAACACCATGCGCACGAACTTTTACAAGTTCGTGGACTCTTACAAGGCTTCGGGCGGTGTGCCAGGCGGGTTCACGACGTACCGCGATGAGAAATGGACGACGGCGGAGATGGCCGAGTACTTGTACGGCGGTGGCAACTATGCCAAGCTGCAGAAGATCAAGACCGAGTACGACCCAAACGATATGTTCAACACGGACCCTCAGGCTATCCGCGCGTTGAAGAAGACGACCGAGTAGGTTTGCTTGGCTAGACCCTCTGTTTGGGAAGATCTGTTGCTTACTCTTTCATATTCTCAGTAGCGCTTAAAGCTGAAAAGGGCGCTGACATTGCGCCTTGTCCATATTTGTCGCTGTCGTAATATGACTTTGTATCTACACATGGTGCCTGCGCACTGCCGGCAGCGCGGCCACAACGCTCGAGCGCTTTCACGTACATTGTCGAAACATTCAGATTGTAATTATTGGTCGCTGCATCAGCTACGTCGTCAATACGTAGGAATGATGAGTGTCTGCTGACCTCGCAAAGGAATGTCCTGATCAGCTTTATACCGCGGTCAACAACCCCCTCACACAAACCAACACCTGGGCGTATCTGCCGGACTTCATAGTGTTACGTGTCGTGCAGCAAAACGAGCACGTTACGCGGCTATCTGGGCGAAGTCAAGGTTGTCCGCGGCGCGTACAGCAAATCCTGTAAGCACGCCAAAAAATAGTTGCAAGGAGTCGGTAGGACGAAATGATAAGTAAACTTTAGGACACTTTCCACGTATCTTACCGATCGCATCTCGCTTGACAGTCGACTACGCAAACGTATCGAGGCAAACCTCCAACAAGTCACTCCCATTCTTCCGCCAAGCGTCTGTCGTGCCAAAGTTGAGGTAAAAACAGAGAAAAAACTTTCTTTTGGCTGCTTGCGCCACGGAAGACAGCGCAGTGTTTGACCCGAAAGAACAGCAATAAGCACGACGTTACACGATGTGGGATATGTCCGCTGATCATCGGGCGCGCTGCACCTAGGCACCAATACTTTACTGCTCTTCTACATCTTCCTCCAAGTTGCATGCGCGTTATCCGAGCCCAATTCTCGACACCACAATGGAATTCCGCTCAGGAGGTTTGTCTGGGTAATTATGTACCCGATGCCCATGACAGAAATGGGTCAAGATGACCCATCGAGACTGTAACGGGGCACACCCTTGCGTGAACTTAACGCAAGGGTTTTAGGTGCCCCGACAGACGTACACGAGGCGAACGAGGAAGCGTAGGGTAAGGTAAAAGTAAAACTGTTGCATTAATATAATCAAGTCTTTTTGCTACTGTCTCTCTGTTTGACCTAACTTAATTATGTTAATATAACTAAATGTATGGTGACGTCTCGTCACCACTCATTGCGCGCGTCCTGCGGCGATTGGTGGGTTGATATCACCACGATATCAACCAATGAGTAGACCCTTTGGTCGCTTCACCAATTGCACCATTATCGGTGATATTGTTCAAAGAATATTCAACATAATATTCTTTATTGTCCTTATCTCTCAAATGACAATTTCCATGTAACGGGCTGCCCCGTTACATCACCCTCCCTTAACTGATAGTCACCGTGTGACTATCGAAAATTATGGCGGCCACCCTCTGGACACCATTGGGACAGGGAGCACTTGTTGGGTGAGTTCCGTTCATAACTCAACCTGACCTCGCATAGTTAACATGTCTATGCGGAGTGACTCAAGGCACACAGAGTCTGTGCCTGTGCCTGTGCTTCTGCGGCAGACAAATCGATATCTGCTGCTCACTCTTCGCCTGCAGCAAGAGGTACTGCAGGTGCACGCGGTATCAGCACCGCGTGCGCATGATGACCTCGATATTGAGGTCATCTACTCTGGCGAGTCAGACGTGTCTGACTCGGGCAATGCTGCAGAGGCGTCTCGATCACCGGCGACTCCTCAGTGTTCACCAAGGCCACTGCCCAATTAACGGACTCGTGAGTTTCAACACAGTCTGTTCGGCAGTGATGACGAATCTGATGATGAGTATGATTGCTCATCACCGCGATCAGCTCGTGCTCCTTCGCACGAGCGACTTGACGATGGTGCAAGCCATCGTCATACTGACAACCGTGGTACCGACAAGGGTACCACTTTGAAGCGTGATGAGCTGAAGCCGTGGCGTTTGCCCGAACGGCTCATCAATAGCTTGTCTCACGAGACAAGCCAACACCATCAAATACCCTTTTTCGATGCGACTGAGCTTCACGGCTTGAGTCCCAGCGCGAGTACCTTTCGCGCTGAAGAAGATTTTTATCTCGATGTCTTCCTTAGACATCGATGGTACAACAGCAATAAAAAGCGTGACAAGGCCTCGCTTTTGGCTGCGTGGAACGCGTTCTTCCAAAACGTAAAGAATTTTGGACGAGAAGGGTGGCTCAAGACACTTGAGGCGACACGCCTCAGGTTCGAAAAGCGAACGCCAACCGGTGCCAGGTACCGGTTGCACTGTTTGTCAAGTGAGGCAGACATTCCTTGCCTCACATGGGGAGACCCTTGTGCGAGTTGTGTTGACAACTCGCAGCGTGCACATAGGGACGTGTATTCCCTAAGTTCGCCCTGGGGAAGGTCACACATCTCGGAGGAGATGCATGACGCGATTGCAAACTTGCAATCCGTCTACAAGCGCCAAAAGCGCGTGTTTACCGATGGGCCCCAGGACCAATCGGATGAGTCTCGTCATACTGGTGGAAGAAACCAGGCACATCCATCATCATCTGGGAGCGGGGCTCCCAGCTGTTCCAAGAGGGTGGATACCCCCGCCACTGGACGAGGTAGCTCGTCCTTGATCCTGAATCGTCACGGTGGTTCAAGATACGCTCCACTAGAAAGCGTTGACCACCGTGACGAGTCCACCGAAGAATGTGGTGGAGGAGGAAAGACCTCCTCCAGATGATTCGGCTCACCATCTCGACCCTTACGAGATGGATCGCGCAATCGATGAATTGCGCGATGATTTGACGCACGAGCGCAACAGGCGTTACAGCTTTGACTGATACCGTGCGGAAGAACCGCAAGGATCACGAGACGGAGCGATGCGAGGCATCGCGCCGATTATGCCGCTCGCAGATTCAGGTCGAGCGGGATGTCCGCTTCCTCGTTCGGCGAGCTGGCGACAGCTCGCGGAGAGATATCTCGGTTGAGTTCTGAGGTATCATCATTTGCGCGACCAGACGGACCGTCTGGAGCGCGAACGCAAGAACCTGATGGAGGTCCTTGAACGTGGGGGCTATCTTCATCGGAAGAAGAAGGCTCGTACTGACAGTACGGCCTGAGCCTCCCCACGTAAAACGTAGGATGCGTGCGCATCTTACGTGGCAATTCGAGTGTGTATGCAGCTCCTTTGCGGTGCAACCTACGAAATGGCCCAATGTACTTCGGCAGTAGTTTACTACTGCCGACACTAGTGACAGCATGTCTAGGTAAATTTACTGTAGACAGTAGTACTAGGTCGTTAACTTAAAATGAAAGAACATTCGCTCTTCCATTCTTGTCTGCGTTTCGTTCCTGACGATCCACCGCATTTGCGATGGAGTCTTGAACGAAGCGGACTATCGCTTCTCGAGTCAGCAGGAAGTTCTCTGCTGACTCTTTGTTTTGTCTTTCAGTGCGCTTCGTGCGCACTGCTAAGAGACTGTTCTCTTCTTCAGCGAGGTTGTCTTCTTCCTCGCTGGCATAATCGTTGACTATACTGAATATCCCAGCATCGTCATCATCATCCGAGTCAATAATAGCGTCGCCGCTATTATTGAGGTGATCTTCTTCATCGATGTCGACCTGATCGACATCGTCATCATACGTTACGACGTTAGCGTCGACACGTGATAATCAAGAGCCAAAACGGTTTTTGCTCGAGCGAGTCCCTCCCCCCTTATCCAAGAGTCACACTCTAGAAGGGCGGGCACACGTGGATGGAGTAAACCATTCACGTAAAACGTTGTGTGCTGTGTCGAGGCAAGCACCGAATTATTGATGGCGAATTCCACCATCGGTAGGAATTCGCTCCAACTCGAAAACGAGTGGACATATCCTCGAAGGATCTCTTCGAGGACACGGTTGGCACGTTCCGTCTGACCATCTGTTTCGGGATGGTCAGAAGTAGACATCTTCAATCGTGTTTCAAGAGAACGGAACACGGTTTGCCAAAATGCCTCCGTGAACCGAGGGTCACGGTCGGATACGAGTTCACGGGGTAACCCGTGGAGTCGAAAGACCGTGTCTAGAAAGACACGAGCACAACCTTGAGCCTTGATCGACTCAGGGACAGCACCAAGATGCACCATCTTGCTGAATCGGTCAACAAACACAAGAATACCATTATTCTTGTGAGCGTCTTCGGGAAAACCCAAGACGAAGTCCATTGAAACGGACTGCCAGTCCTCTACCGGGACCGGTAGAGGCTGTAATGGTGCACGGGACGAAGGACTAGGATTCACCTGTTGACAAATCTCGCAAGCACGTACGTACTTGCGGACAAACTGATACTGGCGTGGCCAGTAAAAGTCACGACTTACCGTGAGGTAAGTCTTTTCTCTCCCACGATGGCCGCCTGTTGGTGCATCGTGACACTCATACATGATGCGTAATCGCAAATCATTATGAGCGGGGACGACGACACGAGGCTTGCCGTCGGGAACAGCTGTATAATATAACAGTCCGTTACGCGTTGTGTACCGATCAGATGAGGATCGGTACAAAGCTGGTAACTCCCTCATGGATTTACTGGATGGATTCACCAGATGATCCATTAATCGCAGAAGATCCTTATCTTCCGCGTATGCCTTTCGTACGTCGTCAAGTAAACTTGACGACGGGACACTGACTGACAGTATCGCAACAGTGGGCTTATCCTCACTGTTGATTTGTGCATCCCGCTCGAAATCGGGCCGGCGCGAAAGAGCATCAGCGACGACGTTTAGTCGTCCTGGTTTATACTCCACGGAGAAGTTATACTCCGCGAAGAAGGACAGCCACCTCGCCATCCTTTGCGAGAGGTGTGGGCTGTTTACGGCCGTGCGTAGTGACGCATGGTCCGTATAGACAATGAACGGTCTATCTCCCAAGAGATAGACGCGCAACTTAGCCAGTGTATATTTCATGGCAAGGAGTTCCTTGTCATGCACTGGGTAATTACGCTCAGCTGGTTGCAGCTGAAGCGACTGATAACAGATGATACGGTCCGCGCCATCTGCG